ATTAATCGGTAATTCCAGTATTAATAACATATATAAAATAAAAATAAAAGACATAATTACATCTTGAAGTAATATTATTTATAATACTCGAGTAATATAACATGAATTTATAATAACTTTATATATTCTATTATAAAAAGAAAATATCTCGAAACAAATTTCATAGTTAACACTAGAATACCAAAGCTTGATATTTTATCTCACTGAAAATAGGTATTTTGAACAAAATTAATTAAAAATTAAAAACTTTTATCGAGATAGAAGTATATATACTTATTTTTCTTCGTCATACTACCTTAATTATTATTATCTGCATGTACACTGTTTAAGTACACATTACCAATCGGTAGTTCTAGTGTCAACATAGTTCCTTCATTCGTTATGCAATCGCATAAAACATCCTTGTATACAAGCATAATTGGGAAAGTCGTAATCTTGCGTAACTTCGGGTTGGAAAGAGGTCAACCTGAGGTATCACTAACTGTCAATGCTATTGTTTAGTATTCAAGAATATCAATATTTTATGTACAGCAACTGACGAAAGTATTTCATCGTATGTGTTTGAAATTCATAATGAATAAGATACGTTACATTCGAAATTTCGAAAATAATGTGTAGTGAGATGAAGTAAGATACGAGCGTTGAGAATATAAATGTAAAATTTTGAAAAACCTGACGTAATTTCGAAATTTATGAAACGTTGAATGTAAGCATATATATTTACGAGGGTAAGAAAAATATTTAAAAATAGAACATAAGAGGACAACGACATGGTAACTTACATGGTACTTACGATGATCCAACTAATTTTGAGTACCATTGTGAGCTAATACCAAAATAAACCACGTTTGCGAATATTTTTGCAATAAAAAATATATTCACATCGAATGTGAATATTTCCATAAATTCTATACCTGCCATTGAATTTTTTCGTAATTCTCTAGACACATTTTCGATACTTGTATCTTATCTTGGGTTCAGCGTTATTTTCTAAATTCCAGTGCAATGTGTGTAATTAAATTGTTGAATATTTAACATGTGTAAATAATTTGTGAAATGTTCAGGATGCATGCACTCGAATATTTTCGTGACCGACTGTATGTAAAATTGAAATCCTGTGATAGCAATTTATTTAACTTTCTTTACTTAAATGTTATTCGATTTTCATGTACGTATTAAAGCAAACAAATATTATCAATTGGTTATTAATTAATTCTTTTTCTCCAGTAATATCTCAGTCATATGTAAATATTAATCGTAAGTAAACTTCGATTTAAAAGTGCATACGGCTCAAAGTACCTTTACAGAGTTGAAATTAATTTTTTTGTATATTTCGATAATAAAATCGTTGGAAATGACACGACATAAATTAAAGAATGCGAAAGATGCAAAGGAAGTAATATGCATGAGTAAAAGATTTTGAAAATACACATGAAAACATCTCGAAAGTTTTCGAGATATCCATTGCGTGTGGATATTCGTTTGCACGTGCTTTTCATGCCGTCTTCTGTCGCATGTGTGATTACACTTCAAAAATAAGATATTGATATCGCAAAATGATTGTTTTAATTCTTTCTTTTGTTTTTTTAAAAGATATCTCGGCATCGTCTCACTGACATTTTTACCTTATGCAAGCGTTCGTTTAAACATTTTTAATATTTCCAAATGTATACCTAAATATAATACTCGAATATTTTGAATTAATATTCTCCAACATTTATACACGATACTTGAAAATATTCTCCGATATTTTCAAATATATCCGAAAGTTTTTAATCTTTTTTAAATGAAATTTTATTCCATCACAAGAGAAGAAATTTTTATTGATTATACTACCTTATTATGATTTGAAAATTAGCGCGGGAAATTAAGGAACATAGGTTAAAAAACAGATAACTTTGCAGCTATTATAGAGAATTATATAGAGAATATTATATAGGGAATTGAGTAATACGTAATTCCTATAAATTTGACGGTTATTTATAAAAGATATAAAAGATAAATTAAAATTATTATTGATTATACTACTCGCCATAATTTGAAAATTAGCGCGGGAAAATAAAGAACAGTAACTTTGCAGCTATTACAGAGAATTATATAAAGAATTATATAGGGAATTAAATAACACGTAATTCCTACAAATTTTACGATTATTTATAGAAAATATTATAAAACAAAAATTAAAATTGTCAAATAATATATAAAGCGTATAAACTGGAAAAACTATAAAGCTATAAAATACAAAGGTGAATTAAAATTAACGAATAATAGATAAACCAAATAAATTCGAAAATTATTTCATCTCTTAGTTACGTTAAAAATTATAATTTTTTTTAAATATTGTTCTCTCTCTTTTCTGATAATCTCTTATCGATTTCATTGTTATTGAAGCTGATGGACGAAATTATTAAACACGACTAAGATATAGGTTAGGTTGTCGGAGATAAAATTGTTTTCTATATGTTACGTCATATCCGTTTATTGCGTTCAAGATTGTTCATGTTGATCATATGCACGTGTATCGTGTTATAAATGAGAATAACCTTTAGAAACGATTATTTATTTTCGTAGGTTTCATACGCAAGCTTTGCCTGCAGTTTTCGAATGGTGCATTATCGTGCAATTAAATGATACGGTTTGAATCTGCGTTAGAACACTTTCGATAATGTTTATCGATCTACTCGAGGTAAGTTATTGCAACTTATACTTGTTGCATACTAGGATCAAGCAATGCAGGGAATGCGGACTAGCACAGTAGAGTTTATTCCACAATTCTAGGACATCGCGAGAAATCTGACATTGACGAGCTGTTGGCGTCATGGCTTGGAATTCAAAGCGATTCGTCACGTATTTATGCCACGCACGCTGCACAAAATACACTCTTCTTAACCGTCCTCGCAATTTAATGAACATTTAATACCGGCAAGCAGATTTCATGAATAATGAATACCTTTGAATGAAGTATATAATATAGGTTAGAAACATATTAAAAATTTGTCCCTGTATAATGTTATAAATATATACCATTTATATATAGTACGTATAATATATTAACTATCTTTTTATTTTACTTTATTTGATTTTATTTAAAAATTTAATACTGACAAGCAGATTTCATGAATAATGAATACCTTTAAATGTAATACAGAATATAGGTTAGAAATATATTAAAAGTTTATATCTATATAATATTATAAATATTTACTATTTATATTTAATGTGTACAAGATATTAATTATTCTTTTATTTCATTTTATTTTATTTAAAAATTTAATACCGGCAGGGTGACTTCGTGAATAATGAGTACCTTTAAATGAAATATAGAATATAGGTTAGAAATATATTACAAATTTATACCTGTACAATAGTATAAATATATACTACTTATATATGATCTATATAACATAATAACTATTTTTTAATTTTATTTTGTGTAAAAATTGTAAAAAATTCAAAAACTCAAGAATTATTATCTAAACGAAGTATAAAATGTAGAAGTAATTATATGTATAGTTAGTCGCTGTAATTATCATCGTATAATCAAGTGTCAAAATTGTAAAATTATTATTACGCAATAGAAATATTAATATATCATATGATAGAGATATATAAAGTCATTTAATTTACGTTTACTTCGCTTTGTAATAGAAATGTGATTTATCTTTTGTTGTTGCATTGTAACAAGAGTTAATTTGAAAATTATCGTATCATATAAAATTGAAATAAAATATAACACGAATGTATCCAAAATTTATATTAACATGTATTCCATTTTAGATTAAGAAAATCCTGCATATTAGAATATTTGGATATAATAGCAATAGCAGTAACCAAAATTATTTTATTTAGTTGAAATGTAGAATATAACAATAATATATTAAATATGTGTCTGCATATTTATTCCAATTTGCATCCGAAAATTTATATTTATAACTACATTTTCGTATCAAATACGAAAATTCAAAAATTTTCATTATTTAAATGAAATATAAAATATAGAATCAAAACTAATATAAAACTTGATATTTATATTTACTCCAATTAGGATCGATGAAGCAATTATTTCATAAACAAGAGTCAATATTCCAAAATCATTATCATTTAAATGAAAGTCGAAATAAAGGAATACACGCGTGTATATTGCAGTTTGTATTAAAAAATTCACGTTTATATTCGGTCATTGTAACTATTGCTTTGTAAAGTTAGCGAAAACATTTCCGAATTATCTAATGTACCAGACAAACGAAATATCTGATCTAATCACGTTATCGGATTTTACCGACTTTGTTTAACAATAAATATACGAGATAGCAAAAATTTAGGCAGAGAAATATTTTCACAATCGTTACGACGCTAATTCACGGTAAATGAATTTCTTAAATATATGACCGTCGATCGGGACGGCAAAACGCTGCGAGAAATATCGACAAGTTCGCCAGAGATATGAAACAAATATTAGGGAATATCGTATCAGATATGAAAAAATGATTGCACGAGTGGGAGAAGCTAAGCACGTGAGAGGCACGATTTCAAATGAGGACAAACGTCACTAATCTTTGCACAAGTCGTGACAAATAAAACTTATCTTCGAACGATGTCACTGAAGCCAAATCAGATTTCGATTTTTTCGCTTTATCTACTCGAATCGTCGCTTCGATTATCGAATGTATGCATTTCTTCCGTAGTTTTCCAAGCAGGTGTTATCGAGCCAAGAAGCGTAAGGCGATATTCGGTCACGAGCACGTGTAAAACGTGTCTGCACGTCACGAAAATTATCGTCCGAAACAAATTGCGATCGAAATATCTCGTTATTCATTTTCACATTCACTCGTAGATCATCCACGACACGAACATTCCCATTTTTTCAATAATCCTAATCAACGAAGTAATCGTAATCGATGAGCTGGTCACGATATTCGAATGAAACGAATGAAATGAGCAAAATGAAGAGATTCGTGCAAATTCGAAATGAAACGTGATAAAGTAAGAAGGACAAGTACCTTTGGGTTTAGGCGCAGATATCTGCATCCGATCCGAGATGGAGATGATGGAAACCCTTTTTGTTGCATGAGACATGGCGGCGTTGATGAGGACGCTAGCGCATGCACAGGACTTGTCAGGTAGGGTCGAGTTCCGAAGTAAATCGCAAAAAAGACACTACGATCCATCAATCGGTCGATCGTGGTTTTATAGTCCATCACCGAAAAGGGTTTCTCCCACTCTTATTTTTCAACTTGCACGTTCTGCATGCGTACACACAACAGTACATTATCACTTTTCTCCCTTATCTAATTGAAAAACACACCAGTATATTATTATAAAATACAAACCACGATACTTCGAATTATTACTACATATATATTATTCTTACATATGTGTCTAAATATGTACATATGGCTATGTATACGTGCATGTGTGTGTGTCTGAGCGTGTATACGTATATATGCCTACGTCGTAGAATGAAAATGAGGAATTAAAAATTGATAATCGCGTTGCTCGGCTTTTAAATGTGTTTTTTGAAGGATTACGAAGGGATAACAGAGGGGACGTATCGTTAGTTGTTGAAAAGAAAAATGCTATTTAGAGATTAAGACGATTGGCAATTGCATCGTTGAACCTTGGATAGAAACCAGTACGATTTCACATCCCGGATCGATAAATCGTCACTGACAGGCCAAAATCTCGCGATACCAGAGCTAACACCTGTGTTTGATAATTTATATACAGAGATACGAGTAATACTATGCTTCGTGAATGTTACGTTCCCTAATAATGCTGTTATTTTCGTGCGTGATTACTACTTACGGTCATCTTTATTCTAGATTTTTCATTGTATGCGTGAAAATAACGATATTTCAGTTATAATTGAATTTCGATTATCGTCACTATACGACACGACGTGTATTTCGACTAATTTTTCGATGCAATTCTCTCGACTGTTCGTCGCGTTATAGAGAACAGAATTTCCTTCATTGTTAGCTCGTTAATGTTTTATCTGTATTTCTATTATTACTATCTGTATCTTATGAAAGATTGTTCTTCATGAAAGTGCAGTGAACCATCGATGTAACCGTTTCTAAACGATAAGCTAAACGAACAATGTGTTTATTTATAAACGAAAATTAATTGCGAATCGAGATGAAATTTTATTATAATAAATCAAAATTGTGTTATTCTGTTAAAATGTTCTTTTATTTTTGGCAGATACGTGCCGGTGATTATGAAAGTGGCCTAAGTCGTACGTGCTCCGTTGTCAGATATTAGAAATCATTTGGATAAATGCACGAATTAATTTTGATTTTGAATTCGATCGATTATATGTTAAATTTGATGCTTTGCAAAAGTATTTATAAATTTTGATAAATTAAGTAAATTTAATATTATAATATAGAATAAAATTTATTTCTTTTAGATCTTTCAGTTAGATCACTTTCTTCGATACCAGTACACGTAATAATGGGAATGTTTCGATACTTATCTACAAATAATGTACAGAGGTAAATAATTTCAAAGTCGATTTTGAAAAATATCTAACAAAAACAACAAATGTAATTAAGAATATAAATGTATTATAATTATAAGAAGAATGAATTAAATATTAAAATGTATTTCAAAATATTTCAAATGGTACTATAAAAATATACATATATAAATATATATAAATATACATACCTATATAACACAATATATATATAATATATGTATATTATATTAATGATAAGAATATAGATTCTAATTGATAGATCCTGTAATAAAAATTTAATTAAAAATTTCTGTATTTATCAAATTTTAGTTTACCGTTTATTAGAAATATAAATTATTTTATTACAAGTTTTAACATTTTCAAAACTTACTTATTTTTACCATTTAAAGAAAAGGGTATTAAAAATTATTTCCAATGTTTAACATTTAATATTTCTATTTCTCAACCGAAATTTAAATAGAAACTCTTCTATTATTATTATATAATAGGCATTATGCGAATTCCTATATAAATTTTTATTTAAATACTAACGACGAAGTAAATTATTAATTATGTTATATTATATCACGAAATAAATAGGTTTAGGTTTACAATCTTAATACTCGGATATACGAAAATATCGTATAAATTATAATTTTACAATTTCAATCGTAAATTCTACATATTCTGAAACATCCTGTATATTTGCTTTCGAAAAAGATAACAGTGACATGATCGTAGTCTTTTATGAAACGTAATGTTAAATTTGATTAATCCATGATAATAAAAATTTCGACATAAATTCAGTACAACGTGCATTGAATTTACTTTGTACTTGCTTTGTATAAAGTAAAAAGACGTAAAACAATCACGTCCAGTCTTTACATTTAATTCTTGTCAGATTCGATGGATGAAAGAATTACCTAAGATACGTAATAGCTATCAAGTACGCGATCATGTTTGTATTTCAAACACGGTAATCAGTGGAAAATGTCACATACAGTTATATTACTATTCCTTGAATTTTTCTCACATTCTTTGCTTATTTCCCCCTCTCTCTCTCTCTCTCTCTCTCTCTCTCTCTCTCTCTCTATATATATGAAACGAAGTTCATATATAACTAATAAAAAAAAGGAGAAAATAAATAGGTAATCACTAGACGCATTAATCAATCACAGGAGACAATAATGCGTCTGATGTTACGTAAAAGTCATGAATAAATTACGGAAGTGTTGAGTATGCATATAACAGGATATTTAAACCAATTACACTGTCTAGTATATTAACATTCCACTTTAATTATACAAGAATCCAGCCTCTAGAATTCCTTTAACACTCGCTGAGATTGAAGAACATTCTCCTTTTAACTTGTGAGGAAAGATATCCATTCAGAAAATTTTCATTCCAAAACATTATGTATAATACATATGACGGAATAAAGCATGCAGAGAATAATCTCTTTTTCTCGGTGAAAAATCATTTCCATGTGTTTTCTTGCCTTTATGAATATAATTTTGCAATAGTGAAAAAGATATACAGTGAAAAATATAAATTTTGAAATAGTGGTAATATATAAATTGAAAAATATAAATTTTGCAATAGTGGTCAAATATAAATTGAAAAATATAAATTTTGCAATAGTGGTAAAGTAAAAATTGAAAAGTATAACTTAAATAAAAGCTAAAACAGTGATTGTCATGCTTTGTCTCGTTATTACCAAAATAGTTAACGGATAAGCTTTCTTTAAAGTTGTTTTACTTATAAATACACTTACTGATATTTATATTTACATATGAACACAAATAAATGGACAATATTGTTTACAATATGATTCTTACGTTAAATTTCATTGAAAAATCATTATTATTACTTGTAAATATTACAATACATTTCTTCAGAGTAACAGACGTATACAATTGAAACAAAAACAATAGAAATTTCATAGTTTTGCAAATTCACATAATCACTATGTCGGTAACAAGATACATTACTGTAATGTAGTGTTTCATTATTATTACATTATCATTGTAATATAATGCATAATTAAGTTTCACAAGGACGATATTTCACACATTCGATATAGCCGTGAATAGACATTTTACGTTTACAAAACTGAGTACAAATATTTAAAATTTAAAGTTTCTATAAATATCATATATTACATCGCATGAATATTATAAATAATAATATTTTAAATTTAGTCGCATTTTTTACTTTCGTTTTAGGTACATATATTATCACGAACCTGTGATAAGTACCTCGATATATTGTAACGTAGATAACAATAATTCAAATGATATAATAAAAGTAAATAAGTACGTATAATAACATTTCCATCTCGATAAAATACAATGTTAATTTTATCAAAAACAGCTACATATTTCCAGTTATTACAAAAATCAAAATTCTGAAACCAGTCGTTCTGAGTAGTTTGGCAGTCGTTTTCTAGTGTTAAAATACGATACAAATAAAAATTATTCAGGTAGCTAGGATCTCTTCTCAATTATGTTACATCATTCCATAAATAGTACATACATATTTCAGAAATCAACGTTCAATTTTCTATTTACTCTTTTGCACTTAAATTTGCTTGCATTTCAATCTTAGAAACCATTGACGTTAGGTCATAAAATTAAGTACAGCAAAAATGATAAAAATTATCATCACCGTTTCAAATATTTTGCAAAGCATTAAAGATGCCATAAATATCTACAACTGTATGCTTATCACATTTCCTTATTTCAATTCATGTAACATATCATACATCCTTGCATTTAACCTTCATTCTTATGCACTACCTCCTAATCTTTCCTTTAACCCCTTGTATTATCATTTCATTATGAGAAACTGTGCATTAAAAAATTTCTTTTCAATTAGCCACTGTATCTCTATTAGCTGCTGCATCTCTATTAGCTGCTGTATCTTTATTTGATCAAATTTTAAAATTGCAAAGATTTTTAGGATTCGCAGAAATTTTGCGCACGTTCAAATACCTTAAATATAATTTTAGTCTAACACGATTGTAATTCTTCTTTATGGGATTTAGGAAGAAAAACACGTTACGAATTAGACTCGTTATAATAGCACAAGGGGCTAAATAGGTATCACATTACATATGTTAAATGTTTGATCAGGATCGAAGGAACAACATTGTTTTAAACATTTATACATATACAGGTATATGTGTACATATTTAACAAAATATCGATGTTCATTTAATATAGTGTAAAAAGAGGATATGTTTATAATATGGCCTAATAGATTCTTAACAATTTTACCTTCTCGTTCAGTCTACAATAAAGTTTATTATAAACTTTATATATAAAATCAGGAAAATATGTTTCATTTTCTTACTTCCTACTTGCAAATTTAATTTGCAGTGAAGTCACTTTCATTTCCTCTCTTGTTTATTTCGGAAACTGACCGGCAAATGTTTCGCGTTTGGACTAGAATAGTGCGAAAACAACCTTGTACCTTGCAAATGTATAATAGAATATTATTATAGATGGTAATTATCTATTTTTGTACAGCACAGCCTTTTTACATTATCTTAGCCGGTTCAATCACATAAACGATCGCTTCTGAACAGAAGAGTGTACAGAGGAGCAGTACTTGGTGAGTGCGAAAATGTTCGTCCTTCATACTTTGCGCTTAATTACCTCCGTGAAATTAGCTAATATATTATACCATATATCGCATAATACTTGAAACGCTAACAAGTGATGCACACGCCCTTGAGTATTCATGCCATCGTCAATTCCTTTTCATTTTCTTTTTCAATCTGCGCCTTGGGATTGTTCCATGGTTGAATATCAGTGCTGCCGAAAATGATGAAGACTAAATTTCCAAGGATATATATTGCAGCGGACAAGAAGAATACTATATTCCATAATTGCTTCGGATTTCCCTGTAAGCAAAGATTAATAAAAATTAATGTAATTATCGACGTAACAGTTATGGATATAAGATTTCTTCGATAGAATTACCTGTTGGCTCACGATCACGGAGCAGATGATCGGCGCGATTATTGCAATCACAGACGCAATGCAATTTGTAATAGACATCATTCTTCCGGCGAAATTTGGACTTAGATCGATGTGATTAATTTGAAATCCACACAGAGAGCCAGCATTTAATGCTACAGCTACTACAAGGAAAGTTACAGCTATAGCAGGATCATCGACCGATAATGAAGCAAAGATAATTAGAGCTATCGCTGGTCCCCAATGTGCCATCGTGTTGCAGGATTTTCTAATTAGTCCCTTTGAGACGCCTTTCTCTAAATAATAATCAGCCAACCAACAGACTGGGAAACTTAACAGCCACATTACCAAATAAGGCAGACCAGATAGTAAACCGCTCTGAAAAACAAAAATATGGAAGACTATAGAATAGAAATAAAATCAAAATATATCAAAGATCGAAAAATGGTTAACCCTTTGCGCTCGACGATTTTTTGGTTAAAGAAAGGTACGAGTTGAAAAATTTTCTGCTATAAAGCTGATGATATTTTTTGAACACTAAATAAGAAATCCTAGAATAATTATTTAATTTCGATATCTTATTTTATACATTATTTTAAATTTCATATATTAATTAATATCGAGCTTCGAAATTTTATCAAATGGCGACTGAAGGGGGCCTCTCGAGTGCAAAGGGTTAAAACAAGTATGAAAATATTTGGAATATATTACAAAAGTCCATTTTTACGTGTCACGAATGCTTCTCATCTGTCGAGTATTTCAACATTTCGTTAAGATATTTAATATACTTTAAATCTGTTTGTTGCATGAAAAGATGTTTCGAATAAACATTGTTTGATATCGAGAGGAATATATAATGTAGGAATTAATTTTGTTTCATTAGTTCCCTTTTCTTTATCGACATATGAACAAGTTAATAGTTTGCTATTCAATCTTCAAACATTTAAATATATATTTAAAAAATTCATTAAATCAAAGGAGTATTCATATCTTGATAAAAATGAATTTTGTTTGTTTGAAGCATTCTTTCGTACAACAGTTAATAATAAAGATCAAGTTTGACAAAATATTTTGTTAATTATTAAGAATAATTAACAAAAATATAATATAATGTATACAATATTATATTATATTAAATATGTAATTATATTATACTATATACTTAAGCTTGTAGTATAAGGTATATTATATTGTAATGACAAAAACTATTTATTGTATGGATGATATTAGGGTCGCATGTTTTGTTTTCTAAACCTTATCGTTTAGTAGGTTATCGAATTCGTCTGTATAGCAGTCATCATAAAATTCCCCAAAAATTGTAGGCATCAATTTAAAAAAGAAAAACCGTAATATCGTCACCTCACGACCACCATTACAAATTTTAAAAACTCGTCCTGATCGTTTTGTTGCTCATAAAAAATAATTAAATTTTTCCCTTTTTCATTTTATTCTAAAATCCACCATTTGCGAGAAAAATACTGGGAATTATAATAATAGCGTAGACATCGTGTGCATATTAACCTGTAAAATAATCGCAAGTCTTAAAAATTTAACTTTATTTACGTTTTGTGAAAATATATAAATAATAATAATTTGAACTTGAAAATTGAATTTCGAGATTACTTATATTCCTTTTAGCTAATAGTTTAACTCTTTGGTATAAAACGCTGATTTATAACGCTATTCAAACTAAAGCTTTACTTTTCCTCTGTTACCTTAGATAAGATACCTGTAAATTGCGAATTATGTACATAACGAACGTACATGTCAAACATAATAGCTTCGCACATTTTAATTAATACAAAAGTATGATAAATTCTCTTTGCTTTTGCTGATGTATGTAAAATTTTCCTTTGCATTGGTTCAAAGTATTCATATTACGAAGTAACGAGAGAAGAAATAATTTTTTTTCGTTACTTTTGAGTATGTTACAGTAAAATTTCATATATTTGAATTTATTGGCAAATGGCAGACAAATAACCTATACGATTGGACATCATATAATAGGAGTTCACTGATTATCACTGCCACCTATGGTCATTTGTACAAATAATAGTTCGTGTCTAGATAAGTGGATTCAATCGGTCAGTAAAATTATGTTCCAATAAGTGGAAATCTACTATACCTTATATAATTAATTTTTCTTTCTAAAGATAATTTTAATTTATGATTACGAATATAATACTTGTGTACACTATACGCCTACTTAACCTATGCATCCTAAGTAACAACTAATCTAACCTAAGTAATAATTATACGCAAAAAATTATATTAGAAGATTGGGTGACTTTGAAGCGCATACTGTGTGATATATATTTGATAATTCCTATTTTATCGACAAGAATATATCGGAACATAACCTACAAATGAAAATACGGAAAAGTTCATACGATGCTCGTTTATAAATTGTTTTGTTGTAAAGTTATTGATTAATGATCATTATAAGTCAAATCATATCGAAATGAGATCAACGTATGGTTGTTTAGAAATATTTGAGTTATATTTTTTACTGAACTGGTATTTTATATTAAGTTGGCCACTAAGTTGTAATGGATTTTCATAGCAGTTGATGCTCTCTTTTGATACAAAGCAGTATCCCTGATCTATTAAGTATTTACATTACACGATTAATTAAAAGTAATTAAAAGTAATTAAAAGTATTTAAAAATAATAACTGCACACGGGATGGCTAAAAATTATAGATCAAAATGATCGATACGTTATTCAATAAATCTCTTTTTGTGTAAAAAACATTACTATTTTCACTAAAATACCGACTTTATCTTTGACCAACCCTATAAATAATAATATATACGAACATTTTCCATTCGATATTTAATTATTATTTTGTACATATAGTTAATGTATATATATATATGAATCGTTAATACACATATCAATGCTTTCCTTGCATTAATTAGACGACTTTAAATGGAAAATTTGTGAGCGTAAAACCCTCTTTAATCGTAAGAGCGACATCATTCGGTATCCAGAAGAACTATGTTTAGCTCGTGAACCACAGTTTGACCATAGTTGTTATGAACAAATATTGAACTTATTGTCAGTCGTCAGTCTTATTAAAAGCGTGTGTAGCGGAAAATTCTGCATTAGAGAGTATGAAAGGTCAATCGTGTTTTTTTATCCGTATTTACATGATGTTTTTTTCTAATAATCATTTAAAATAAAATCAATCGCTATTTATGTTGATACAAGCTTAGTATCTATATAATATGGAATGTATTTCTTTCCTAATTTTTAACATTTTAGAATTTTAATGGATTTTAATAATTGTATTATTAATTTGTATCTTAATGTATTTTGTTAATTCTTCGTATATGGATAATTCTATTTTGTATATGTATTTTTTCTAGAATTCCCTATAAATACATGTCACGTGATGCGAGATCTAGTGATCTTGAAGTTAAAGTAATTAGTATCTCGCAACCAAATCATCATTTTGTATGATAAAATTTTTATTTAACCTAATTTTTATTGGTTTCTTTATTGGTCTTTATGTCACTACGTTTAGTATTTGTTTAGTATTTGCTTAGAACTTTATAACAAAGTATTTACAGATAAATTTTATATAATCATTTTTAATCATTTTTATTTGTAAATGCATATATTTTACTTATAGATGAAATTATTTTAATGAAATACATATTTTATGTCGATATTTGAAAGACGTGAAATATGAAAATTTTATGAAAATGAAATTTAAAAAAAAAGTAACTTTACTTTAATTCATGTTCAGACATCGTGCAGCTCACACCAAAATAAGTAAAAAGGTCCTAAGAGCACGTACTTACTGTACGTAGCTTCTAACGTAATTTTTGAATCTTTAAAACTGAAATCTAAAACCTTGTATAACTTCACAAAGAAAAATTTTTAAAACTCGAAGTACTAATTTCGTTTTGTAAGAAGAATATTCTATTTTGAAAACTGATATCTTAACTCAAGTCCAACAGAATACAAACAAAAATTTAACCCTACAAAAATATATATAACTCAAATTCTTATTCAAAAACGCTAACATTCTAGATCTAATCTATAATACTTGTTCCTTTTAATAGTTATATGGTCGAATGTATTAAAATCATTCAGAGTATATCATCGATGACAATGTGATGAGACAATTTTTTCTTAATTCGTTGATTTTGCGATTCTTTTATTTATCAATTTTATATCTTTTCTTATAGAAAATTTCAAATCGAGAATTTCGAGAAGTTCGAGGATTTTTGAAAGATCATTTAAATTCTTAATTTTTGAAACTCGACATTTCCTTGGATTTCGGAAAATTTCCAAAGTCATATTCTATCATCGACCTTTTTATTTATCAATTTTATATTTTTTCTTTACAGGAAATTTCAAATCGAAAATTTCGAGAAGAAGTTCGAGGATTTTTGATCACAAGTCATTTAAATTCTTAATTTTTGGAATTCGACATTTCTTTGGATTTCGGAAAATTTCCAAAATCATATTCTGTCATAGACTTTTTAGTTTTCAATTTTTTATTTTTCTTTATAGAAAATTTCAAATTGAGAATTTTGAGAAGCTCGAGGATTCTTGATCACAAAGGTCATGTAAAATTCTAAATTTTTGGAGCTTGACATTTCTTTGGATTTCGGGAAATTTCCAAAGTCATATTCTGTCATAGATTCTTTATTTTTCAATTTTATATTTTTCTTTATAGAAAATTTCAAATCGAGAATTTCGAGAAGAAGTTCGAGGATTTTTGATCACAAAAGTCATTTAAATTCTTAATTTTTGGAACTCGACATTTCCTTGGATTTCGGGAAATTTCCAGTTATATTCCATCATCTCTCTGATATACTTTGTTCACTCGTGTTGAGTACACAATACACTTTAAACGATATCAAAAGTAAAATAAACGAGTCGAATAAATTCAGGTCAGGAGAACATTTTCTTTAATCACTAATAATTCTATAGATATGTAACGAAATATATATATATATAAAACTTTAAAATAAAAATATAACGGGACATGTACTGATAAGACATTTTTCCTCTTATCCTATTGTTAGTATATAGATTCAATTTCGGATGTATGAACATGCATTTAGGAATTCTCCTAATGATATCGTCAGATTTCATCGACTCACATCTAACGAGAATTTTATCTACGTCATAAAATATTTATTAATTTAACTTTAGCTAGTTAACTTCTGCTCTTTTCGCTTATCTTTTCCCCTACACATCGAGATTAAGATTTTCCATATATCACATATTTTCTATACTCGTGGTGCCATACGTCTTGCAAAGATAGCTCCTGTTAGCGCTATATGAACCAAAATTTCTCAGGACTCGAATGCTCACGAGCAAGCAAACTTTTTCCAAAAAAAGAATAGTAATGCAGTTTTAAAAGTTTATTCCTATAAAAATGCCTAAGAAACTGGTAAATCCCCCAGATCGAGGAGAAACGAATCTTTTTATCGTATCGTACCTACAAACACTATTTTCAAGCGCGTTAATCACGGAAAGTTAATTCAAAGTAATAATGACGTAGTTTCCATTATAAAACCTGCGCTTCAACGATTATAGTCGTAAACATTTATATCGTATTAATTTCTTCGTAAAGATGAGAAATATCGAAATATGGCTATAAAAAGACATCGTTTAGACACGAAGGTATGAGATAAGGAAAAGTATAGTGCATTTTAGTTTCATAAAATCATCGGGGAAAAACCTCGTACTCGAGAAATCTCATATGTAAATTGTTTTCCAGATTACTTTTCCTCTCGAAGGCGGAACATTTTTTGTTAAATGGGAAAAATGAAATTATTCCTTTGTTCTAATGATCGTAAAATCTTTTTGCATTACATTCTTTGAAATTATACCTGATATAACTATAAAAAGTGATTACTATTTAATAAAAAAAATATTTTAAATGATACTTATTTTCGTGGAAATTAATATGAAGAATAATATTGGAAATATGAAAAATAATATGTAAAATAATATTAGAAATATGAAAAATAGTATGCAAAATAATATGCAACCGAAATGAAGAAATATTTTTGGCAAAAATTTCGTATAAATATTATACAGATATTATATAAATATTATATAGATATGACTACAAAAAGTGACTACTATTTAATAAAATAAATAATATTTTAAATGATACTTATTTTCGTGGAAATTAATATGAAAAATACTATTGCAAATATGAAAAACAATATACAAAATAATATTAGAAATATGAAAAATAATATACAAAATAATATTGGAAATATGAAAAATAAAATGTAAAATAATATTAGAAATATGAAAAATAATATGCAACATGATATGCAACCGAAATGAAAAAATATTTTTGGCAAAAATTTCGTATAAATATTTATCAAATTTAGTAAGACTGTTGCGAAGTGAAACATTATTTTAAATGATGTCTATTTTCATATTTATAGGAAACAATATACAACTGAACTGGACAAATGTATTTAATAACATAATTAATAAATGTATTCGGTAATATACATATAGAACAAAGTAGAATATAAAAAATGCTTAAATATTTTTGATTAATTTTACAAACAAGGTATTGGAACTTGAACTAAATTTCATTTGTCAATTTATTTGTCAATTTGTAAATTTCTTGATATTCTCTTGATGTAAGGTAAATAGAATAAAAGATGATAAATGGATAAGATAAGTAATAAATATAAATATACTTGACATTCTTAACTACAGTCTCTTCGTTCTTTGGTCTATTTTGCAACGATATCGCGAGTAATTTGCAATTCCGAAAATTTATCTGCTAAATATAAATGATACATTACCCTACTTTACCCTATTTATCAATAACAAATAAATCATTCGTTGGTAACTACTAGATAATATATTAGCAATATATTAGTAATTGATATTACTGTAACTAACATATAAGATTTAATGACTTACTAGAAACTGATAATGTTTTTATCGCAATTTTTAATTATTATTTCATACAATAATAATTATGAGAAATCTTCCAAAGTCTAAAAATTTATGCAATAAAAAGATTATTTTTTATGTGTCCTCACAAACGTAAAGTTTAATCTACAATACGACACGATATATAAAATTTCAATCACTATATTTCACGAAAGTATGATTATAAAACTAACTGAAATCTGGAAATTCCCACTAAATGAAAATGTCCATTAACCAAAATGGAAATAGAATGACTTTCGTATATCAAAATTATTTAATTACTTCAAGTCGGCATGAAAAATATAAGTGAAAAAAAAGTTTCGAAAATACTAATGTAAATTTTTAAAAAATTCTTAAACATGTTTAATTTCGACGTTTCAAGATTTTGATGAGTACTTTTCTTTTTTTCCTTCATGAAACGCAATTTTGTAGTAAAAATAAATTTTAAAAGTAAAAATAAAGTCATACTTACATCTGAAAGTTTGAAGTGTAAGACATCGTTCATGTAAGTTGGTAATTCCGTTACGAGTGTCCAATAGCCCCAATTTTGACCACAATGCACGATTATAAGCGCCCACATCGGTACCGAGGTGAATATGGCTTTCCATGGTGTACTCAACGTCTTTAACAAATTCTAGACATGTCAATAATATTTATGTTACAACATGCACATTCTAAAGAATCATAAAATATCGTACAAAATTCCATTAATAACTATTGTTAAATAAACATAATTAAACTGTAAAATAACCGATTTTTATTTATATCGTTATATTGTTAAATTTTGATTTCAAAAAATTAGTAAAAAGTAATGGAAAATTGCACGAAGAGAATAAAGAGCGATGTATCTAATAAAAATGAAACGAATGAGATAAAAATAAAAAATTAAATAAAAATATATACTGAAAGCGATTCACGCTAGTATTTTGTGAAATATGTAATATATTAAATATGTAATATAAAATACAAAATAATATAAAATATATTATAAAATATAATAAATTTATTATAAATTTATAAAATTATAAAATTTAAAAATTCATAAAATAATCCATAAATTTAAAAATATTAGAAATTTATTACAAAATAAAATAAATTAACATTATCAATAAAAATATAACATGATTTCAAAAAATGAGTAAAAAATAATGGAAAATTACACGAAAATGATAAATAACAATAGATGTATTTGATGAAAATGAAACTAAATGAACAAGTACGAATCAACTTTGAATATTTTTCGTTAAAATATCATTACATATAACTCGTACAATGCACGTATTTTCCTCGTAAAAATGAACTTCCTTTGATATACGTATATACGCATATACACAATTCACTAAAGCGACGTATCAACGTTACTGCAATTTTTCTCGAGATTAAAACTTTTAACGCTTCATCATAAAAGTTATCATTTCCAAGTAATTTCATTTTCCAAATGCGAGTAAAAATAGACAAATAAAAAATACAGATATAATTTTACAAACGAATATATTTTTGGTAGAATAAAAGAAAAAACGATAATAAGCATGTTTGCTTAATTCGAAACTAATATATCAATATGCAAAAGAAAATACCAAATTTTCTATCATCGATTTGCAGTTTCTCGATTATGAGCGTTTTATCAATCGTACGCTTGTTTGATATTTTTAATATTAGACCGTAATGTTTAACGTATGTAATAGTAGTATAGTAATGTAGGACAATGTATTTGCGTCACTTAAATGGCATCTAGAAATATGAGAGGAAAGTTTATTCATGTGGAAAATCTGATGCAAATATCTTCTACTAATCTACATATTTTTAAAAATCGCTTATCGATACTTAAGGCGTTAAATGATTCCTTTAACCCTCGACATACTAAATGCTGTATAGGGAACCCAATACGAGTTTTTCTGTCGTCTGTCGATAATTATTGCAAACGCATTATCAACAATTTGACTATAATCTTTGTTCTACGATATTAACTCTTTCAAATGTGACGATGACTATAAAAGTAGCCTAACGATGAGTTAAAAATTCAATATAAACGACTTCGTCGATCATTTTTGGTTGCATTCATTTACAAGACAGTAGAACTACCTTTAACAAAAAAAAAATAAAATAAGAAATTGCACCGTTAGATTAAATTTATAACCTTGTCGTAATTAATTATTTTAATTTATAATACGTTTAAAGTATACGTTCAAAACTTCGAATGTGTACAACTTCAACCACTCACATAATCATAGAACCACGAATCAAGTACGAATAAGAACAAAAGATGCAGATATGAATAAAGTTACAAATAAAAACAGAGAAGAAGAAAGAGATTATACGATATCTGTAAAAATAAATTCAAAATCATCAAGAAGTACGGGAAATTATTTTATAATATAATCAGTCGCAAAAATATTTGGAAATTCATAGAAATTCGACCTTTATGTTTTAAGCAAATATACCATTGACCTATATTTTAAGCAAATATACGAGAAATAAAAGATATATTATGTTATATTTGAATATAGTTTTTAATTTTCATTTTAAAAATGGAATATTCTTTTATCTATTATATTCCTTAAATAATGAAAGAGAAATTACAATTCCTTTAATAATCGGAATTATAAGTATCTGTGATTTTAATTAGCGAGCATTGATGATTTATTAAATAGCTTTTAGAAATTGTGATCAAATGCGTTTTGCTGCAATCTAACCTAAAAGAGTTGAATTAACACATCGATAGCTAGTTGATTTTCGTAAGCATTAACTTGGATCCACGTTGAACTTATTAAATTTATTAAACACGTTAAACATTTCACCATTACAACCATGTAATGACATGTTATATATTAATATAATAATAAAGTATTCGATAATACGATTAGACGAGATTAGATTTTTGTCAGTGATATATTTATTTTACTGGCAGTCAACATAACCTCAAAATACATTTGGTTACCATTGACAATGTGTGTCAGAAAGCATCTATTAGAAAGGAGAAAAGTTGCAACATTGATTGTCAATAATAAGAATTTAGGGTGTGCACCGCGTATAAAAATTTAATTTACTAGCAGCAGCTATAAAATAATTTATAGTAAGAGTGTACATCGCGTATAAGATTTTTATACAGTGGTGCCAATTACAAATATCTCGTAATATTTTCTTCGTTTTAAAAATCATAAATAAAAGATTATATCTCTAATTCGGCACTGATCTAAACGACACTAGAGTCAGCTACAAATTGATTGTTTAATTTACATTTATTTTTCGAACTTATATTCTATCCTCGTTTTTGTTTTCGTTTCGTTTTGTATCACTGAATTGGTCAAAAAGATATGTCGATACTTTCAGTACAAAATAGTAATCATTTTCTCGAGTCGAACAAAATTTATCGAATAAGGTATAGATCATTTTATTCGTAACATTTCATCATCTTGCGTTGACCGCATAGTTAAAACTTTGCACTCGACGATTTTTTGGCCGTAGAAAAATAGGAATTGAAAGATTTTTTGTTACAAAGCTGACGATATTTTTCTGAGCAGTGAATAAGAAGTCGTATGATAATTAACACGTAGAATTATTTGACTTCCATACCTCGCACACCGTTACATTATCAAAAATTTGACATATTAATGAATATCGAGCTTCGAAATTTTATCAAATAGCGACTGAAGGGCGCCTCTCGAGCGCAAAGGGTTAACGTGTAATTGTATTTAATACGTAATAAGACACTGCTTTGCATCGGCAAGCGAAAGAATACCGTCTGTTACAAAAATTCTATACTTCCCTGACCGACCCAAGATCTTCTTACCTTCGAGCAATGTAAAGTAGAAATTATAATTATAGTTGTTATACTCGGACATTATTTAGTATCAACGTATAATTAAGGCAACTTGATTTGTGTCGTATTATATAAAATCGTATAATTTATGTATTATGTAACACCTTATGCAGAGAGAAACCGAAAGTCACGGAAAGCCGTGAGGCACCCCAGTTTGATAAAAACAAACATAAAATAAAGCCGTGATTTAATAAATATTAAATAATATTTCGAACTAATATTAATTCCTAACCCTCTATGGACCGAATATATATTTTTCTTGACTATAAGAATTGTACGTAACATAAAATCAACAAATATCAACCAATAAATTCAGCAGTTTTGACAATTTTATTATAACGAATTCATATTGAAAGTTTGAATTAACAACGTTTGTACTATTGTGCCAAAATAATGTGCACTAGATAGACAAGATAATTTTCCACGCCATGTTGTGGAAGAAAGGTCATAGGGGGCCATAGAGGACCTAACCTATCATGATCGAATAACCGGTAAATGAAAAAGAATTAAAATTTTTAAAAATGGACCCATTTTTGAAGTATTGTAAAAATAATTATAAATATATCGAAAGAAAAATCGCGGTTAACCTATCATGATCGAATAACCGGTAAATGAAAAAGAATTAAAATTTTTAAAAATGGACCCATGGGAAGTATTGTAAAAATAATTATAAATATATCGAAAGAAAAATCGCGGACTGGAATGATGAAGACGATAACGTTGAATGTAGTATTTAATAAAATACCCATACATTAGCATGTAACTTGAAAGTTACACGGGCTCATAGAGAGTTAATAACTAATATTAATGTAGGAATAGTAGGTTTGAAAGTGAATGCAAAGGAACACTTAGGCCTACCTAGCTGATGACAGGCAATAAACAGCAGCCTATGGTTCAGATCAAATGTCTAGGGTTAACCCTTTGCACTCGAGGGGTGCCTCGCAGTCGCCATTTAATCAGATTGTAAAGATGGATGTTAATTAATAAATCAAATTCACAATTACTCAACGATGCTTGGAATATCGAAGTAAAATAATTCTACGTCTTAATTTGCATACGATTTCTTATTTACCGGTTTAAAAATATCGTCGACTTTATGGCAGAAAGTCTTCGAATTATTATTTTCCTGTAACGAAACGATCACCGAGTGCAAAAGGTTAAACTGACATCTGGAGTGCACGCGGAAGGACGAGTGACCACGAGCAAGGATCGAATGAACGAAATATTTATGACTATATGGAATACAAGTGAAGAGCGAAAGGCGCCTGAGTGTTTAAGGTGCGTGTATATCGTCAATAGGTCGACCGCAATTGGCGACGATTAATGGCGAACCAAATTTCTTGAGCAACTTGTGTTTATAGTGGACTGTATATTTTGTAATTGTTCCGGTTAACTCTTCTGAACTCTTCGAATGTTATTTGCTGACTGACTGGTACTGACCAAACTAACTTGTGCGATGCACGATCTTTCGGAGCCCATAGTTTCCAAAGGGAAATCGGTTTTCCCATTGGTGGTTGACAGGACCGAGGGTGGGCCCTCGGTCCGCGAATCAGATGCCCCCAAAGAAGGGAGGACCGTCTTCCGCGACCAGGTCTGCCGGTGGAGGAAGCCTCTCCCTCAAAGGGGGTTGCTGGTGGGCCACCCGCACATTCGTGATCCTTCCTGAAGGACCCGTTACTTTATGGCTCCGAAAGTCGCGACATCGCACATGGCCTGGTCCCTTTCTTTGCAGGCCTATTATCAGCCAAATCCTAAGTGCTGTTGCCTGCTTTCTAACATTAATGGCTAAAGAAAGCCTCGTGTCCGGTGACTCGAGGGAAATAAAGAATTGTTTGAAAATGCATTGAAAATGAAGATAGAAAGGACACGGAACTTGAACTAAAACAGCAATTAGAATCTGGCTGCCAGAAGATCCTAACGGTCTTCTGGGTCTATTCTAATCAAGGACCGAACAAAATACCGGCACGACATTCCAAGGCTTAACAGTACGTGACCCCACGAGAGCGAGGCTATGGGAAATGTGTGATTGAGAAAGAAAGTATGAGTGTAAAGGAAGACAAAATACAATGTTTAAATGAGAATGCAAGGGCTGTCTTAGGACAGTCAGGTTAGAGTCGAGTTCTATACGGAGTTTGAAAAACAATCGGTTACAGTCGTTTACAGAGAGACCTTTACGGAGTTTGAAGAAGAATCAATGTGAGAGTGTGAGTTGCGTCATCATAGTTCAGTTATTAGTTTAATCTTTTAGTTTGTACTTTACTCTTAAATCTCTTTAACTCGTAATAAAAATATATTGGAATTAAACAACATCTTTTATTCCTTATATTCACCAGTCAAAGTGTATCAGTACATTAATATTCCGAAATAACTATCGATATGAAGTTATAAAAACTTTTGCTAACTCTTTTAATTATAATTTTAGCACCAAAGCTTGCTTAGCTTTTTCGGTTAGATAAACGTGTTAACCCTTTCGCGACGGCGCGACTAACCATACTTCGCCACCATTTTCTATTTTGCCTGATGCCTGGACTAGCTTTATTTTGAGCTCGCTATTGAAATTAATATATACATTACTAATACATATTACATATATATTAGTAATTATTAAACAATAAATGACTGTCGTATATATATATATAGCACTCGTCGCGAGAGAACGTTTCAAATACTGCTACGTGATGAAGGGGGGAATTTACATAGAGAAGTAAGCGTCTTGACATATCATTAATGAAGAGAAAAATATAACGAATGTCGTAAGCACCGTGAAATAAAAAATATTCTTACCTTTCCGGTATCCGACTTTTCGTGCTCTTCGGCGGCAAAACTGTTTTCAATGTACCGTTTTTCTCTTTCAGATATTCGCGAGAAGTTAGCGGGGCTGTCCGCGCCAAAAATGAAAAATGCAGCTCCCCACAGTATCGATAAAGCTCCAAACACGTAAAATATTGACGGCCAACCGGCACTTGACACTGCTAATTGCGCGGTAATTGGAAAACAAATCACGGTACCAAATTGTGCTCCAGCATAAGCGAATGTTGCTGAAAGAAATAAACATATGATAATATACGTGTTCTATAACATATGTATCTTAGAATTAAAATGATTCAATGAATATATAAATATGTATAATCATGGTTACGTTTGAGAAAAGACAATTGAAAAGACAACGAAAAGAAGAAAATGGGTTTCCATAGTGCTAATAGTAGATTCCTTATAGTTAAATAAGGAATTCTTATTTAATTCCTTATAATAAGAATTCCTTGTAATTAAATTCCTTACAATTTTAACTAGAAATTAAAATTTGTCGTTTAACTGAACTGTTAACCAAATAATTGGAATTTAACTGTAATTTAATTAGTTTCTGTTTCCATTAATAATGCAAATAAATATCTTATTTCGTTAGTCATAAAAATTTCTTTTCGAAATTTTAATTCCCTTTTTATTTATATTTTGATATTGTTAATCCTTAAAGACTACCATATTTTGAAATTTTACTCCATTCGAATGTTTTTTATTTTATCACTGCTTGAATCCAATTGAATCCATTTTGAGTTATGCTACATCCGTTTTTTAATCTCTCATTTTTCCTTCTTTCTACTTACTATTTTTTTCGATAATTTTTAATTTTCGATAAATCAAAGATATTTGTCATTAATTTTGGCGATTAATATAAATTATATAATTTTCTTTTGTATAGAACGTACTATACAACGTACAGTACATAATCTGGTATCGATAATCTTTTTATAGTTGCAGACGTAAAGGAGATATAAAGGTCAATCCTATTTTTTTTAAATGATATGATATGATACGTTTCTTCATTTATATGACCTGACAGAGTCTTATAAGACGAATACAATGACCTGTTGTAAAGGTCACTCGAACTTACGCAAGGTCAAATGTAATCGAAAATATCTCTTTGAATATTTCTCTGCTTTAAGTATACGTCTTTAAAATTCGTCGAAATTCGTGATGCAGTTTTCACTACTTCGACACGTTTTAAAAAATGCACCTATGCTCAAGGTCATCATTTCGAGCACTTGTAACAATAAATACGTAAATGAATAAATAAAAATAAATAAATAAGAGAATCGTAAATGTAAATAAAAATATCTTCTAGTATAGTTGACCTTGCAAATTATACGTGACCTTCATAATTATATTCGTTTTGAAATACTCTATCACAATATGCATAAAAACATTCCATTTTAAAAAACATTTCCTTTTATTCATTTTGTTTACGTCACTAATTATAAAAAAGTTATGAATACCTAATTATGTGTCCCTTGAAACCAAGCAAATTTGGTCTGACACGTATCTTCCTATTAGGAAAAATAAGTATGTTATTCAAACGACGTATTTTAGGTGTTCCACTCTGTATATGAACATTTAATGTATACTATACTTAATTGAATGGTTATTGTCTAACTATTGAAGTTTCATTGCATAATGATCCGAAAAGACCCAAACATTGTCTACCAAAGATTAAAGTGTAAATAAATAATTATCAATAAAAGTTAAATTATTTATATTAATCGTATTTAAAAAATGTAACTTATTAAATTCATCGTGAAACATAAACATTAATGAAAAACAACTTCATCGATGTTTATCGACTAATTCATAAAATGTTTTACTATAAACACCAGAAAAAAATATTAGCTATGATAGCCTTTAGATTAGGGTTAAAATTATAATATTATCAAAGACATTAATTTTTACTCGTGATTAAAGGATGAAGTAGATAATTTCGTATAAATTAATTACACAATCATAAGTCAAAACCCAAAACTTCTGCTAACAGGAACATTAGTATAGACTAAAGTTTCTTACGATCAGTAAATGTTTATTCTCTTCATACGAAGTTATTTAGTAATATTCTTCTATCTAATAGCATACAAATAACGTTAGAATATTTTAAAAATTATTTTAACTATATATAACATTTCAAAAATTATTTTAACGGTGCATAATATTTCAAAAATTATTTTAACTGTGTATAATATTTAAAAAATTATTTTTAACACACATGTCTCTAATGTGAAATTTTAACAATTATTACAAATAAAATAATTAATACGTGTAAAATTGACTCAAATTACTTTCCCTATATAATTAGAAATAAAAATACAATTAAGAAGTAATAGCAAAGAATTAACACTAGAACTACCGACCTTTAATGGGTACCTAACTATAACACACAGTTATAGTTACAGATTAGAGTAATTTCAGCGATACGATGAATATGAGTGAATATATTGATTACAGTTCTTTCTTAATACGAGTTGATACCAATTTTATTCTTAAAGCAGGTGTATGTGTTCGGTGATTGCAAATAGGAAAATTCTGGGACCAGTCATTTTGACTGGGTTGGTAGTTCTAGTATTAAAGAAAGGACTAAATTATTTAGCGAAATAAATCAAACAGACAGTTTTAATCAACGTGGATAGGTTTAAACCGAAAGTAGTACATTCATATGTGAAATTAGCATTGTCAACAGTACTTAAGAAATGAAAACATTTCTTATCTTTATAAACACACATCACAGTAAAGTTCAAATTTAATTTGATAACCTTTTAAGTTTCTTATCAGGATTAATTCGGTTGAAACGATCTTTCGAATTCTATCCATTATATAACATTAACACTAGAATTATCAACGTGTAATGTATATTTACACACGGCGTAGATGCAAATAAATATAGTTCAAGTAGTAGGATGAAAATGATAAACATATTTACATATACATATACCTTTCTATATTTCCAAAAGAATTGACATTAATTTTGATAGAAGCAGCAATATATTTTCATCAATTATAAAGAAAAACAGTTTAAACCAGTCATTTGATTGGTTTTCTGATGTCAACGACATAACGTGCATGATTGAATGAAGAATGAATTCGTTAAAGAAATTGTTTACTTAAACCATAACAAAATTAAGGAATAAATTAACATAAGAATAAAATGTAAAAAAAACTTCGAAATCATGAAAATTGGTTCTGCATTCCTTAATCTAGATCATTATAATTACCAACTTTGTTGTATTACTTCGTATATTGTATATTTCCAAAATAAAAAAATTGACGAAATCGTTCATTATCAATTTTTCTATTCATCTTCATCTCATCACACTTTCAAGCGAACGAATAATTTTTTGACACCTTGTAGTTTTATCGTACTACAATAACCATTGCTTCGATACCGTCGAAGTAGACATACGACGCTGAATCTACAGAAATTGATACTATTAACACTATTTATTATTATTTATACTAGTATTATAGTATTAATTTTATAGTATTAATATTAATTATTAATTTATTATAGTATTAATATAGTACTACTATTTATACTATAGCATACATAGTAAATATAGTAAATATAGTATAAATAATATGCAAATAATAGGAAACAAAAGTATTTTAAACAATGTGCGATATACAAGGTAACTCGTTTAAAATTTCGCGCGTAATGATCACCGAATTATTACTAGCACGACGCTGAATCTAAGGAAATTGACACTATTTATATATAAAATGAAATAGCTATTTTAAACAATGGTATGCATATTTAGTAAATATAGTAAACATAGTATAAATAGTATGCAAACAATAGTAAACAAAAGTATTTTAAGCAATGTGCAATATACAAGGTAACTCGTTTAAAATTTCGCGTGTAATGATCACCGAATTATCACTATCACCTGTTTCGAGTGGAAAATATTTTGATAATCATAAAACTTTTCTAGATAGACGTGTCTCTGAGATTTGGAGATTATCTTGGCCTTTTTTTCCTTTTTAATGAAACTGTATGTATAATATATCCCAACATGCCACGAACTCACGCTAATAATCTCCTTTACCTATGTTTACAAACAGAGGTGTTCGTATTGTCACCAAGGTTCCTAGATTTAACATCTGTAGACTTTTTCTTACGTAGCTTTATAAAAGATAAAGCTTTCTGGGGAGAACCCACCACTCGTGAACACACGAAAAATCAGATTAGTTAGTGGAGCAATACTCGAAATCGTAAAACATTTGTCTAATCAGGTTATCGATCTGGAAGGTCGGTTTTTCGAATATAGAGGATAAGGAACAATTTTTAGCTGTACAATGAAGGTACATATGTTTTGAACCAAATTGAATGACATTGAGAAGCAAGTAGGTTAACGAACTCGTCTTGGGATAGATTATACGTTTACTTAAATAAAAATATACAGGTTTATTCTAAAAAACTGAGATAATTTTGAAATATAGGAAGCACATCTGTTTAGAGGAGATTTGTCACCATACTTTATGAAACGAAACTTAACTGAAATAGGGTAAGTTTCATTTGAAACATTTTTCGAAACCAGCTACAAATTAGGAAATAATTGCATATGAAACTTGAAATGAATCATCTTGTGTATATAGGAAGAGAATGGTCTGAAAATTTATTAACACGTGGATGGCATTTATCTGCCCATATATCGTGTAAAAATCATCATACAATATCGAAAATAGTGGAACGTATAAATTCTACTCTTCTTAATGTAACTCAAAATTATTTAAGACAAAATTAAGTATCTAAATATATAAATATTGCAATAAGTACAGTGTCTCTTATTAATATTCGGACATTATTCGATAAATAATTGCTGTCTTTTATTGTTTATAAATTTAATTTGTCACCTAAACATTACAAGACAGATCAAAGGAAAAATACATTTTTAATTTGCTAAAATATTCAAATACATTGCAAATTTTAATTATTAAACTAAGATAATGAGTTTGGCACAGCTTTATTATTATTCTCAGAAAAAAAATTGGACCATCCAATAAACAAAAAGAGAAATACACACTAGAGAATAATGATAAATTTGTATAGAATAAAAATAAAACTTAGCACGTATTATTAATAAAAAGTATTTATTAATATATTAATCAATTTAAAACGTATAGTCGAAGCAATGATCTATTAAATCCGGTATATACTTATCTTTTATAGAAAATTACTATTTTACTTATTTTAACTTAAATTTATTACATATTCGAATAT